TGCGCTACACAGCCACGAAGCCAGGAGGAGACACGTGAAGGGACCACAGCCAAAGCCTGGACTAACTACATGCTATTCACAGAAAATGTTGAGAAAATCTGAAAGTTTAACATGTTACCCCTTTAGAGAAGCCTTCTCTCATCCTTCCAATAGATGCACTCGCTCCCTGCTCTATAAACTTAAAACAGTTTCCTTCTTCCTCTCCTGTGGTGGTTATCACATGGAATCTTAGAACTGCTTACATGCAAGACGTAGCCTTGAAATGAAAGAGAACTCACTCTGAAGGCAGGAACAGTCTGTGTCCTTCACAGCCTAAGATTCTCAATAAATATTTGAAGAAGGAGAGGGATGGAGAGGGATAGGGGGCTAGTAACAATTTCAAAGGCCACAAAGCTTGTTTTTTAGATTTCTAAATGAGCAAACTAACACCTGGAAAGGGTTTTAGTGATGTGTCAGCATCAGATTCCCAATTCTTACTGATAACAAAAAACGATTTGATGCATTGCTGGCCCTCCAGTGGGTTTTCTGAGGCTGTAAATCGTACAGGAAGAGACTGCCCACAGTAACACTCCTTTCACATTGTTGTTGCTGTATACTGTTGTATACCAACTTACGGCAGATCTCGCAGTGGGTTTTAAGAGGCAGTAAATGGCAAAGGAGGAGGCTGCCCATTTTTTTCCCGCTGAGCTGCTGATGGATTCAAACGGAATACGTTTGGGTTGGTAGCACAATTCCTTAACACTAAAGCCAACAGAACCCCTGTTTTTCATTTCACTCAGCTGAATTTTAAATATCTTTCCCTTTTTTTTTTAGCATCCATACCTTTCACAAATCTCAGTTCCTTTGTCAGTTGGGAACATAAAAATGGTTTGGATATAAGTGAGTTTGCACACACACAAAACGCTCTTACTTCTCAATTCGCTGTACAAGCCCGCTTAGAAAAACCAGAAGATTCACCAACTGAATGCATATATCAATTTCAAATGCTTTGTTTTGGTACTAAGGAAGCCTTGAAATGCAGTTGTCGCCGTGTTAGGTGCCGCTGAGTCGTAGAGGACTCATAGCGACCCTATGAACAAAAGGCCTGAGCACTGTTCATAGAGTTTCCCGGAGGCAAGCCATTTCGGAAGTGGATGCCGCTCCTGCTTCCAAGCTTGTTTTAATCGGGAAGCTCCACCAAACACTGTCCACCATGGGGAACCATTATTACATTTGACACATCAGTGTCATAGTGTTCAGCATCACAGCAACCACGAGTTACTTCTGTAGAGCAATGCACAGACCAGTGCTATACCATCTAGAAGAATGTTTGACAAAAAAACCCCAGTATGAACCAGGCCTGAGGGCCGCAGATTAAAATCACGCACCTTGGGCTTGATAGCATAACTTTGGTTCCACTAGGCCAAAGTACATTTTTTTAAAAATTATTAGTTTCTGACAAATCAAAAAGAGCTGTGAACAAGAGACTTCTCCAGATTGCAACCGTGGCCTCTGGGCATGTGGCCCTGAGAGCCCAGCTGTCCACACCTGGTGCCACTTCTGCTTGAGGGCAGCTTGTGCAATCAGCTCCATTTGTGGTGCTCAGTGTCTGTGCTCACGTTCTCAGCTTCCCTGAATGGCTTCCTTTTTACCCTTTTCCCAGGAGTGAAGATGCATCCACATCCAAACAAGTTAATGAATTTCCCTCTTTGGTACCTATCCAAACATTCTGGCAGCCATGGGTGGACAATCTCGTGACACTGCCTTCGTGAAACTTGGCTGTCTCCCAGGGCAGTACTGTGACGACCTGGGAAGTTATTTTAAAATCATTTGTATTTTGTTCAACTTCATGGTTTAGGAAGCCCTGAATACAGGGTGGACAAGTTCTCCTCCAAGCAGTCACTGGTAAAAGTAAATAAGACAGATAAAAATGTAACAGGGAAATAAAAACACGAGGCCTGCTAGTCACCTCCGGAAGCTTTAAGCCTTGTAATAGGTATTTTCACCGCTTCCCTTTCACTTTCTCATGTGACCACAAGTCCAGTGCAAAGAATAAATAAATAAATGTTCCAAAGATTGTACTTAGTTTTTTTAAAGTATTTGCTTTATTTTATACACATGATGTAGGAGCTTATCTCCTTACCACTTCACGCCATCACTTGTTTGTCGGTTTGCTGTGCTGTGGTGGTGTCTTGTGTGTTGCTATAGCACTGGAAGCTATGCAAGTGGTTTCTCAAATGCCAACAGGGTTAAATAAGGTGTATCAGGGTTTAGCAGAGCTTTCAGATTGAGATAGACTGGGAAGAAGAACCTGGCAATCTACTTCTGAAAAAACTGGCCCGTGAAACTCATAGGGATGGGAGCACATCATTTTACACAGTGCCAGAAGATGGAGCTGCTTATGCCCGAAGCACTCGAAGTAGAATAACTAGGGAAGAATGACCTCCTCAGGGCAGAACTGGCCTTAAAGGATGTGGGTGGAGTAAAGCTCTCAGGACCTTCATTTGCTGATGTGGCTCAAACCAAGAAGCAACAACTATAAACATCCATTACTAATCAGATTCTAGGATGTAGAAAGATAGGCAATCCTCTCTCATGCAATTTATAGCCTTGGAAACCTTGGAAATCGGAGGGTCGTTTATGAGCTGATTCTGACTTGACGGCAATGAGTAATGAGTGAGTGCTCCATGGGGATTACGACAGTGCCTAGGACTTTCTGCAGGTCGATCGCCAGGTAAGTAAAGATGGCCTTGAACCTACAACCTTTCTGTTAGCATTCAAATGTTTCACTGTCTATGCCTTAAGTCCTGTATTAAAAACCATAGCTGTAATAAAACAACAACAAAAAGCCCCATAGCTGTCTAGTCCTTTCCAACTCATAAACTGGGTTGAGAGAAGTAGCCTGCTCATCTCTCCCATCGAGTAGTTGATGGTTTCTCACCACTGACTCTTTAGTTAGTGACACAGCATGCAGCAAGCACATTGTGACATTCGTTGTTGTTAAATACTGTCCAGTAAGAACCAGCTCACAGCTGACCTTCCAGTGGACTGTCAGAGGCTGTGAAAATCATAGGATCAGACTGCCCATATTTCTCTCTTGGTGTAAATGGGGGACTCGAACCATGTGTCTTCAGGTTGGCAGTACAACTCCTTACTACTGTGCCACTTGTTGTTCCCGAGCACCATTGAGTCGACCAGGACTCATAATGACCCTATGAACAATGGCTGCGCTATCCTGAGTCAACCTCACCATCTCCAACACACCTGACCCCACTGCCAAAGTCACAGTGTCAATTCATCCCATCCAGGGTTTTCCTCTCCTGCTCTGACCTATTACCCTTCCAAGCATGATGTCCTTCTCCAAGAACTAGTCCCTCCTGATAACGTACTCAAAGCACGTGAGACAGAGCCTCAAGATTCCTGCCTCCAAGGAGCAGACTGGTTTCACCCTCTCTAGGATAGACCTGTTTGTTCTCTTGGCAGTCCATGGTATGTTCAACACTCTTCTCTAGCACCACAACTCAAAAGGCACTGACATTTCTTCTGTCCCTCATTGTCATCGTCCAGCTCTCAAATGCATAGCAAGCAACTGAGAAGCCCATGGTTGGGCCACTTGAGCTCCTTAAATTCCTTCTCTCCATGTGTTATAATGAAGCAATTTTGAACACCTCAGAGGCCACCACAACGAAAACCCTCTTCTAGGAAGAAAAAAATCAGCCCAGCCTGTGCTGAGATAAAGAGGTGCAGGGGTTGGGTGCGTGGCTGCTAACCCAGTGGTCAGTGATTTAATCTCACCAGCTGCTCAGCAGGAGAAAAGGCCTGGCAACGTGCGGTCAAGAAAACATCAGCCTAGGAGTTCTTACGAGGGACGGTCTCCTCCGTCCTACAGGGTCACTGGGAATTGGAATCCACTAGACGGGATCCAAGAGGTCATGATGATGCGACTGGACACTGCAAGGTTCAGATCTGCTGTTCACAGTGTTGCTGTGAGTTGCAGTCCACTTGACTACGACACCTCACAACAACAACAGATGGAAATGGATTGTTTTGTTTTGAGGGCTGAGGACTGAGAAAGACACTTCGAAAATACAAGTTTCTTGATAGAGACCTAACACTAACACTAACGTATGAATCACTTACAGCATGTATATGAGTCACATATAGGTTCCTCCTGTAAAGACTGACACCATAAGGAATCTACCTGCAGTTGCTAGGAGTCGGAAGCCAGGAGCCTACAGCGGACAGGTAGACACAGGTACCCAGAAAGATCAATTCAGAGGAGACATGTCTGCTTTCCCAGGCCTTCTCCCCTCTCCCATCCAAATGTGTTCAGTCCAAGCAATGTTCTTCAGATAACAAACCATCTAGGCTGCCCTCCACTCCATACACTTGGATTATTAATATTTTCCATGCCTCCGAAGTTCCACTCTCCTTTGCTGACCCCGTTTTTCCCAGCAAATGAGAAAAGCAATCGAGGCCTTGCATACAGGCGGACGGAATTAGGAAACAAATGAACTAAATTATGTGTTCACACCTGGGCAGCTTTGGAGAGCATTGTTCGGGGAAACAGATGTTAAAAGTATTTTGATCAACGGGGGCATTTATAATGGAAAGGCAGTAAGATGCTCTTGGAGCCAGCTAGGAGGAGTATGTTCCATCAGCCGGAGCAACAATGGTCCTGTTAGTTAAAAAACCACCGGAGAGACGCTGAAGGGTGCATGGTGGCTGGTCCCTGGGAGCACATTCAAAGACCTGCGTGGTGGTGGCTGAGTTAAAAGGGGTAGATTTCATCTCTATGGAATAAGCAGATAGGCCAAGGAGGGCTAGAACAAGCTAACAAGAAACTCCCCTCTGACCTCTTGGAACTATACATGTGTTCATTAGTTCAAGCCACAGTGATACCAGACGAACTGTGACATCCCATCAACAGTGGGTGCCTGGACAACGGCTGCTGAGACATGGGGCAAATCACAGATGGAGAATGGACATTGCCATTGAGTCCCAGCTTCCGGGCTACTTACGTCGGTGTCAGGTCCCTTATCCGCACCCGGACAAGAAAAAGTAACAAACTCATGGCACCGCTTGTGAACCACAAAACAGCAAACTGTGGGAGAGAAAGGAAAACCAGCATTAGAACAGTGGAGGTCGAATACACAGGCTCTGTTTCTCAAGCAGGGTGGCTGGCCCTGAGATGTCAATTTCATTTCATGACAGAATCTTACAAACAACAATCATAAAGCATTTCATTCAGGACTCGGCAACATTTGGTATCAACTGGACGCAAGGATAACAGAATCACATGATGTGGGTGCTGACGGGGACCAAGGGGCTCTGGAGAGGAAAGGAAGCAAGGCTGACAATCAAAAGGAACCCCCACCCATGATCCCATCCCCAACTGTTGTAGATGTTGTTATGTGCCATCGAGTTGCTTGCGACTCATAGCGACCCTACGTACAACAGCCCTAAACTCTGGTCTGTCCTGTGCCAATCGCACTGTCTCCAACACACCCATCTTGATTACCCCAGTCAATGAATCAATCCACCTCATAGAGGGACTACCTCTCTGGAATAAGAATGAAGGGTTCTCTGCAGTGACCAAAACAGCAGTGCCGATCATGCAGCAGATAATACCTTGGCTGGAAGCTGACCCAGGCCAGGTCTAACATATAGTGACCCCACAGGACATAACAGAACCATAATCTTTCCCAGGCCATAATCTTTGTAGAAGCTGGCTGTCGCATCTTTCTCCCATGGAGGAACTGGCAGCTTCTAATCTCTTAACTTTTGGTTAGCAGTCTGTGCTTTAAGCACTGCGCCATCAGTGCTCCTCAAAATAAAATAAAATAAAATAAAATAAAAAAGATATATAAGAAATAAAAGCAGTTGTTGATTATGAATCATTTACAAAGCATTTATTACCATCAAGTCAATACCAAGAATCCTCTATCTGAATTCCACGGTGGTAAATCTTTATTGGAGGAGATTGCCCATCCTTCACGCATGAAGCAGCTAGTGGATGTGAACTGTTGACAGGACATGTACTATGCAACAAGGGTACCATATATAATATATACTCATTGCTGTCAAATCGGAACCAACTCATAGCTGACTCTCCCGTGGGTTTTCAGAGGCTGTAAATCACACAGGAGAATGCCTATCTCTCTCCTTGAAGCAGCTGATGGATTCCAATCACCAGTGCCTGGATTGGCAGCACAACACCCTACCCACAAGGCCTCCAGAACTCCCGAATTCCTAACTTAAGGAACTCGGAACACAGAAAGAGCCAACAGGTGCCTAAAACAAAAAAAGTTGGGAAACAAACTAATCCCTTCTTTTAATCTGTGGTTCCTGCTACAAACGCTGATCCCAGTTGGAAGGAGGCCACAAAAATGGAACAAAATCCCCAACTCAGCAAACAGCTCCCAATCTCAACATGGTTCAGTGGATTATCCTGAAGCTGGTCAACAAAAGGACAGTTACCTCTAGAAATTAATAAGGAACACCCTGAGAGACTTCTATGTGGGGGCTGCAAGGACAATTAATGACCTATTCTACCTTTGCAGCGTAAAGTCTAGTTGTGAAAAGACAATGAGGAAGACATGTTCCAAAGGGCATAACTGTTGTTTGCTGAAAACAACAGAGTGCCCGAACAACATAGCCTTAGAAACGCCGGGGAAGTCTTGACTGCCTTCTGCCCATGTTCTCTGCCATATTCAAGTTCATTGTTGCAGTGTTAATCTACTTCCTTGATGATCTTCATCTCTTTCTCCAATCCTCTACCTTTCCCAGCATGATGTCTTTTTCTAAGAACTAATTCCTGCCAACATGCCCGAAGGAAGTGAGACAGGTTTCACTTCTGGGAATATACCCTAAAAAACCATAACCATCACCCAAGCAGATATATGCACACCCATGTTTGTCATGGCTTTGTTCACAATTGCAAAGAGTTGGAAACAACCCAAGTGCCCATGAACAAACGAATGGATAGAGAAGCTGTGGTATATTCACACAATGGAACACTACCCTGCCATTGAAAAAAATGGAACTCATGAAAGATTATTCAAAATGGGTGACCCTGGAGGACATTATGCTGAATGAAATATCTCGGTCACCAAAGGACAAATACTGTATAGTGCCACTCTTGTAGAAAGGGACTGGCAACACATCTTTTGATTTCTTGTATACTGCTACCATGGGTGTTTTACAATAGGTAATTCCCATGAAGACACCCTACACACATGATGAAAATAAAGCTGATGAAAGAGAGAATGACAGGTTTGCTGAAAGCCAAGATCTCAAGAGGAGCTGAGTCAAGTACCATAATAATGGTCAGAGAACCCTGAACAACCAGCAAGAAATTTCTAGTAGTTCTTGGCAAGAATTACAAGCCACTCAGAGTCTTACGTTGTGTTTTATTACTTGTCTTTTTTTTTGTTTTTCCATGTAGTGCTGTAGGTGAAATTTTACAGTGCAACGTAGGTTTCCCATTCCATGGTTTGTCCCTAGGCTTCCATGACATCGATTACAGTCCCCTACAGTGTATGGGCGGCACTCTCCTCATCCCGTCTGTGCTACCGTTTTCATTCTGTGGGGTTTTCTACCTCTTTCGGCCTTCTCAACTTTGCTTTTGGGCAACTGTTATCCTTTGAATCTCACATAATTGATTGATTACTCTAAGGAGCATGTTCCTCTTGATTTATTGGGCCTTTGGTGTCACAGTGCATAAAGTGTTGGGCTGATAACTGAAATAGCAGTGGTTCAAATCCACCAGGTGCTCCATGGAAATACTTACAGCCTCAGAAGGCCAATGGGTGGCCACTCCAGACCTTGATGGCAGTGTGTTTGGTTCTGGTTTCCTCTATTCAGCTGAGAACGGATCTGGAATGGTTACCGTCTGAGGTATCTTAGGGCCATAGACTTGGAAGTTCTTCTGTCACTGAAAGCTTTTGAACAAGGTGAGGACCTGAACAACGGCTGTGCTTAGGAAAGGTGAGGCCGACAGGAAGGGTTTAATGGAATAAAGCTGGAGCCGTCAGGGCCAGTCTGAAGCCTCTTGCGTCATTCAGGTATGAAAGAAATTGCCCATCATTATTCAGCCCTGATGATGTCAAACAACATTCAGGCAGCTAAGAGATGGTAAGTAACAGAGCCCAGAGCCCTTTCCGTAAAGGCGCTAATGGGACCGACAACTAACCATAGATACCATTTTTGAGCATCTTATTATAAGGTAGACACCCCACTAGGTCCTCTTCTCTGCATTATCTAACTGATTCTTTTGTCAAGACAACTTAACACGCACTAGTTAATCTGTGAGTGGGAAGACATGGTACAGACTTCCCTACGCACCAGACTAAGCAGAAGGTCAAGGACTGCAATCTTCAATACAGATTGCAGCTCAACATCAAGAAAACAAAGATTCTCAGCACTAGGCTGACTGGCAGCATCATGATAGATGGCGAAGAGACTGAGAGTGTGAATAGCTTCAGCTTGCTTGGCTCCACAATCAAGCTTCCTGGCTTCTTGGAACCAGAAGCCAGGAAATCAAAAGATGAATTGCATTGGGAAAATCTGCTGTCAGGAACCTCTCAAAAGTACTGAAGAGCAACAATGTCAGTTTAGACACTAAGGTGTGCCCGATTCAGGCCATGGTCTCCACAGTTACTTGTGTTGCATCAGAGAGCTGGACAATGACTAGGGGTGATATAAGAATTGATGCCTTTGAGCTGTGGTGCTGAAGAAGAGTATTGAATATACCATGGAATGCTAGGAAAATGAACAGGTTTGTCCTGGAGAGGATGAGACCAGGCTTCTGCTTGGAGGCGAGAATTTTGAAGCTCTGACATACTCTAGGCTTGTTGCAAGGAGAAACCAGTACTTGGAGAGACACATCAGGCTTAGAAGGATACAGAGTGAGCACCAGAGAAGATGAGATGGATTGACTCAATGACTGCAGTAATGGGGGTTAGGTTTGTCAGAGACAATACGGTTGGCTCAAGACTGTTGTACATAGGGTTGCTATGAGTCGCAAGCAACTCGACAGCACATAACAACATCATGATGGAATAGAGTAAGGACGTCAGTGAAGAGACTCAGGTGGTGGATGAAGGATTTGCCTAAAAAGTCACACATTTACGAAGTTGTGGAGAACATATTCATAGTGAAGGTTTGTCTGCCTTCACACCTGCCTGCCACTGCGTCATGGCCATGGACAGACTACCAGGAGTAGAAAGATGTCAGGGCTGCTGTTAAGAACTTGCAGGTGAGCAACAGAAAGAAGGATTCACAACAAAGAGAGTGTTTGTGTATTTCGTTTTAGATATTCCTAACTACATCTCCACCTACAGGACAGTGGGGTTCAGTGGCAGTGTTCTTGCCTTCCATAAGACAGACCCAAGTTCAATATCCAGCTAATAATGCAACTCATCTGCGGCCACTACCCATCCATCAGCGGAGGTTTGTGTGTGTTGTTGCCATAATGTTGAACAGGTTTCAGAGGAGCTTCCACACTAATGTGAACTAGAAAGAAAAGCCTGGCAACCTACTTCCAAAAGATCACGCAATGAATGGCAATGGTCTGATGGGACTTGACCATCAACATGGTGTAGGGCCAGCTGCAGTTGATTCCACTGTGCATGGGATGGCCATGAGGCTGTCTGTCTGAACAACAGTTAACAGCAACGTACTTATGCCTCAGTTCAGCTTATCTGTCTAGTGAGCTTAGAGGATGAAGATGGGACTATGTCAGGTTAGAAGATAGAGAAAACAGAATCAGATGATTGTTTTAAATAGTGTTCCATTCGGGCTGTCATAATAAGGTGCTCAGTAAAGACACACACACACACACACACACACACACACACTCTCCTTTTTTTTTTTTTTTAAAGGAAGCCGTTTTGGCATCACTCAGACTCAGGTATATGAGGAACCACCCACAGGGAGGTGCTAATTGAAGATCTCTTCAAGTGAACGTCCTTAAGACATAAGATGCCTGGAGCGAGGGCTTCTCCTGGGTTTCCCTCCACGCCTGCCCACTGTGCACGGGTGTGGAGGCAGGAAGACAGGAGGAGAAGCCGCAGAGCAAAGAGCCTGCTGGCAGCTG